TACCAATATTCCACGAGAGAGAGAGCATTTCTTTGAGAAGAAATGGCAACTGAGAGAAGATTGGATGAATAAAAGAAAGGTGGTAAGAGTAAAAGAAGAAATACGAGAGAAATGAAGTGAAAAAAAAAAAGGGAAAAAAGAGAGGGATAAAGGAGGATTCTGAGGTGAAAAAAAAATGAATGGGTAATAAGTTGTGATGTGAGTTATGGGGAAGTGTAAAAATAATAATAATAATAAGTTACCACGTGAGTTATGGGGGTAATAAGGAATGGGTAATAAGTTGCCACGTGATTCACGTGAATTGTTTTTATTAATAATAACAATAATAATTTATTGTTACTATTTTCTTTTTATTTATTTTTATTATTTTTCTTTTATTTATTTGTCATTAATTATTATTACTTCATTTTTATCCATCTCTTTCCCCACCTACGTGGCCATTTAATAGCTCTTTCTTTTTACCCCAATTTCTATTTCTCTCTCCCTCCGTTCATCTTCTTCTCCTTTCTGTTTCTCTCTCCAGTCTCCACATTTCTTTCTTTCTTTCATCATTCTCTTTTCCTCCTTCCTCCATCATCTTCCCCTCTCCCATTTCTTCTCTTTCTTGCCTCTATGATCTCTACATTTCAATCACACCAACGCTTATTCAGAACTGCTCCTCTTTCGAGTTTAATATCTATTGGAAACCGACCAAACCAACCAAATCGACCGATCGATCAGTCTGTTAAGTGGTCGGTTTGTACAGAAAGATTTTTAAAAAAATTCGACCAGCGGAGACCGACTACATCGGTTTCCGGCGTCGAGGTCGGCCAAAAACCGACCCCGACCGATCGATGCTCACCCCTAGCAATGGACAAGAGTATTCTTATAGACTTTAGCATAGCAACCGGGGAGAAGGTTTCCTCGTAGTCCACCCTTCCCTTTGGGTGTAACCCTTTGCCACGAGTCTAGCCTTAAAGGTCTGTACCTTTCCTTCGACGTCTCGTTTTCTCATGTAGATCCACTTACAACCTATAGGTTTGACCCCATCAGGTTGATCTACAAGGTCCCAGACAAAATTGAAGTACATAGACTCCATTTCAAGGTTTATAGCTTTGACCCATTTGTCCTTATTAACATCTTCCATTGCCTTCTTGTATGTCAATGGATCCTCAACGCCATCATCAGGTATGACCTGGGTTTCTGTTAAACCCACGTAACGATCCGGTTGTGACACAACCCTCCCACTACGTGGAGGCACTCTCAACTCTTGAGATGGATGTGACTAACGTGATGTACTAGCGCAATCAACAACTCTTGTTGATGTATTTGTAGCTTCATCGAAAATCTCATTTAACACAACCTTACTTCGTGGTTTATGATCTCTAATGTGGTCTTCTTCCAAGAATGTAGCGTTTGTCAATATAAACATTTTGTTTTCTTGTGGATCGAAGAAGAGTCCACCTCTCGTTTCCTTGGGGTAACCTACGAATAGGCACACTTTTGAATGAGATTCCAGTTTCTTCGGGTTTGTCACTAATACATGTGCTAGTCATCCTCAAATTCTAAAGTGACGTAAACTAGATTTACGTCCTCTCCATAGTTCAAAAAGTGTTTCAGAAACACTTTTTGATGAAACTGTGTTCAAAATGTATACTACAGTCTCTATTGCATAACCCCAAAACGAGGCAAGCAATTTAGCATAGCTCATTATAGGTCGAATCATGTCTAACAGGGTTCTATTTCTCCTTTCTAATACACCATTATGTTGAGGCGTACCAAGTGCTGAGAGTTGGGATGTAATTCCATGTTCTATCATATAGTCTTGGAATCTTAAGTCCATATACTCTCCACCCCGATCAGATCGAAGTGTCTTTATCGTCTTACCTAATTGATCATCAACTTCAGTCTTGTACTCTTTAAAATTTTCAAATGCTTCAGACTTATGTTGCATTAGGTAGAGATATCCATACCTTGAATAATCATCTATGAAAGAGATGAAATACTCATTCTCTCCCATGGCTTAAACATTCATCAGACCACAAAGGTCTGAATGTACGAGCTCTAAAGGTTCTTTGACTCTGTAACCTTTTCCAGTAAAAAGGTCTTTTAGTCATATTGCCTTCAAGACAAGATTCACATAAAGGTAAGGAGTCATCTTCTAGCTCGTTTAGAAGTCCACTCTTAATCAATCTCTCAATCCTATTGAGATTTATGTGACCTAATCTTAAGTGCCAAAGATAGTTATTTTCTTTTGGAGAAGTTCTTTGCCTTTTGTGTTGAGTTTTAGCATTTTTAAACAACTATGTATCTAAAATTGTTGTAGTTATGGTTGGTATTAACACATATAAGTTGTTTTCGAGTTTTGCTGAAATGTTAACACCATTTCGTGAAATGAACATTTCATTTAATGAAAAGAAAATAGCATAACATTGTTCGAGTCGACAAGAAATTGAAATTACGTTCCTCTTTTATTTTGGGGACTACATACACATTATCTAATAATATATATGTATTCTTGTCTAAAAACAACTTTAGGTTTCCCACTGCGACTGCTGAGACGACATCTCCCATTCCGACTTTGAGAGTCATATCCCCAGCATCAAGCTGCCTCCAAGAACTAATTCCCTGAAAAGAATAACAAACATGGTTAGTGGCCCCTGAATCCAGTATCTAGGCAGAACCATCATTCTCCACTAACCAAGTTTCAAGAACAAGTAAATCATATTTACCTTCTTTGGCTTTCTTCTTTTCGGCCAAGTATTTCGGGCAGTTTCTTTTACAATGCCCATCCACGTTGTAGTGGAAACATTTTCCTTTGTCTACAACTTTGGTCTTGCCCTTTTTGGTAGCAGCAGCAGCAGTAGGATTAGCTTTCACCCCCTTACCACTATTCTTCTTATTTTTAAAAGTCTTACTTCCAGAAGAAGAAAGTACAAATTTGGTTTCCTGAGGTCGAACCTCGATGGAATTGTTTTGAGGTGATAACGTTTGTCTCCCCTTCTTGTCCCTTATTTTTCATAAGGGATTGAAAAATATGTAGCTCATTTAAAAGTGTGGTAAGGTTGTACTCCATCTTGTTCATCACAGCATTGCTACAAAATTGTAGGAAACTCTTCGGAAGAGATTCCAAGATAAAGCTGACCTGGCTCCCTCCATCTATGACAGCACCGTTCACTTAAGCCAAATTAAAGTGGACCATCAAATTGAGAACATGTTCTCGCACTGATGTTCCCCCTTTCATACGAGAATTGTAAATGAACTTTAGGGTATCGTACCGGGCTTGAATGGACGGTTGTCCAAACATGTCCTGCAATGAGTCCATGATCTCCCTTGCGGTGACTATCCTCTCATGCTTCTTGGCCAGCACATCAGATATGCTTGCCAAGATGTAGACGTTGGCCTTGTCATTGGCCTTGATCCATCTGTCATAGGCATCCCGACTGGCTCGGACTGCATTAGGCATGGGAGCCTGAGGACACTCCTCAGTTAAGACGAACCTAAGATCATCTACCACGAGTATCGTGTTAAGGTTCGTTTTCCATTGTGTGTAATTTTCGCCGTTAAGTTTTTCGACGGCAAGCATGGCAATAATAGAAGTAGACATGCTGAAATAGAAACAAGTCTATATTAGATACTTGCACTACCCATTAAAATCCAATCAATTTTAGCAAAAATTAATAATGCACCCTATTAATGAAGATTATTTTTGCGACAATGCTTCAGTGATTTGCAGCTACTCCTTCACTAAATTGAGACATTCTCAACTAAATATTACACCAGAATAGCTCTTATTCCTATAATAGTTAGTCACCGTTTGTTTGGTCAAGAAGTTATTAACTAACTTAACAATTTCTCGTAAGTGAGACCTGCCATTTTTAGACCCCAAAGACCCGCTCCAATAAGCCTGTCGCAGGGAATGACAAATATTGATGCAAAACCTAAGAGACCTTATCCGTTTCTTGAGTTCGCGTTGATTTTGATTCCATACAACAGATCTTCCGTAGGGGTGGTCGCTCCAAGACAACACATAAGTCGTGTATGAAACCTCACGTTGCAAACCAATGGAGGAGACCGTAGGATGTGTTGTTATCTCCCACTTACTAAAAATACTTTCTCCATTCACCTTGGTATTGAATTTGGGTTAATACAATTCTAAGAGAAACATCAATTATAACTTTATTGAATGAATATTGTTTTATGTTTACAAACCACAAGTTTAGGATATAAAACTCAACAAACTCCCACTTGAACTAAATTCTAGTGGGGTGTACAAAAGCAAAAAGCAACAGTTGGTTGTACAATCAAATAGAAATACAATAAACTAGGGCATACACTATACCCTTTACCAGAGACGAAGAGGGAAGCGCAAAGACTGTTCCGTCACATTGTAGTGGTCGCCATAAGTCACATTATATGTATCTCTTCAAGAGACGAAGAGACGACATGCAGTCATGTTGCTTAAAATAAAAATCTCTTATGTCGTCTCTTAAACATAATTTAGTCACTTCGTCACTCCAATTTCGAGATCTTAGGCTTAATCCTCCCGACACTCTCACGTTTTTTCCAAAATGATCCAATTTTGCTGAATTTTACAGAATTTCAGAATAAATTACTTATTTAACCTTATTGTTATATTTTAATTTTTAATGAATAAATTTAGATTAAAAGCTAGTAACAAGCCCGATTAATCACGTATATGATTTATATATTCCACCATTTGCGAAGGTTCCAAACTCAGACTAGTCATTGACTCATTTATCCCAAAAATAAAAATAAAATAGTATTAATATCTAAAAAAACCATTTTGAAAATGGGAAACAATATATTTAGGGTGGATTTTTTCCCCTTTTCTGGAGAAGTTTTAGAAGAAATGGAGATTAAAATTTCCTTCGAGCCTTCTTAGATACAAAAATAATTGAAGTTCAAATAAATTCAAGACTCTG